CCGATGACGATGCCCAGGATGCGCCAAATCGGTGACTCAGCTTCCGTTTTGTTGTATTTTCGCGGTTTGGGGTTTGGGGTTTATAGGGTTTAGGGTTTATAGGGTTTAGGGTTTAGGGTTATAGGGTTTATAGGGTTTAGGGTTTAGGGTTTATAGGGCTTATAGGGTTTATAGGGTTTAGGGTTTACGACTACCGAAGACTCAGGCCCCATGCCACTCAGTCTCCGGCAACATTGTGTGCACGGCTGTTGTCCAACAGACAAAGCCCTGGTCAAGCGCAACTTCCGACTTCAGACTACCTAAACCCCTACAAACCCTAACGGCCCTAAACCCGAAATGGGGCTCTCTGAAACAAGATGTCAGACCCTAAACCCTAAACCCTAAACCCTGACGGTGCTCGGATTCACGCACATCGGCCCCCTTCGTTGCTGTCAAGTCTTTAGAACCACCACTCCCGACACCCCGGAAAGGAGTCGTGCTTCGGAAGATCTCTGGTCAGAGTTTGGGGTTTAGGGGTTGGGGCTTTTTTTTTTGGGCATTGAGGGTGGTAAGAACGTTTTATGGTATGGGGTTTAGGGTACCAGAAAGCTGCAGCGTTTATCCAGGTTTGCCTGGGTGGAGGGGTGAACCCATGTGCGACAGCCCCCAGCCATCTTTGCCTGCCGAAAAGCCGCTCGAAAACCCTAAGACAACCATATAGGAGTCGAAATAATTAGACTACGACTAATGGGATCGTTTAGTATCGGGATACAGGGACCATACGAGGGAAGTAGTAGCAATCCATGAGATCCCTATAGTGCCCCAAAGAGCCTTGTTCGACCTTGCCCCTATGAAGCCTTCAAGCTCTCGCGAGACGGCCCTTCAAAATTTCGAACTCTCAAACATCAGGCCATGAATCGATCAAGAAGTGGAGCATTAAATTCCCCAAATCCCCCAACGTTAAACCCTACAAACCCAAGGCCCTCAAACCCTTAAACCGAAACTCTCAACCCTAAACCCTAAACCTAAACCCTGCACCCCAAATGCCAAACACCATAAAATCACATAAAATCCAAAACCTCGCCTAAGGCCCAAAGTCGCTCCTTGCGGTTTCGGCCCAGTCCACGACTTTCGGGGTGTGGTGGCGGCGCCGCGGGCACCTCGTCGAAAAGGGTTAAGGTCCAGTGTTTCCCTTCATCTCGAAGAACCTACCTTTTTGATCTTTCAAGACTTGTGAAGGAAGTCATGAGAAGGAGTCCTAGCAAGGTAGTCTATTTTGGGTTATGGTAGGGTTAGGGCCGGTCAGAGTTTAGCTTAGACCTAGTCTCTACTCCCCCTAGAAGGTGAGCAAAAAACCAGACTTAGAAAAGGAACCAGGAGCCATGCGGCAACTGTTAGCTACGCTGACCAGTGTTTTAAAGCTGCTGTTAGTGGGTGTTTAGAAGGGTTTTCAGGGTCCGCAGTGTTCTGGAAAGAACATGCATGATTAATTATTACGTACCCTTGGACGTGCAAAGCACTCGTTGTGGGACCTCTCTCTATATTGGGATTCTAAGATCGTACTCTATGGCCCGAAATTGAAAAAGGGCTCGGGCATCCCAAGGCTCGGCATACTGCATCACTTGGACACTGCCCCAGCCCACTAA